TGGTTCAAACAGAAAACGAAAAAATATCATACGAAACTGGTTGAGAAAGATGAAGAGGTTCTTCAAGGTAAAGTAGCTTTGTGACATAAATTTTATGATGATTCAATTCCTTTTCAGAGATAATTCATTTACAAATGGAAATGAAACACAATCAAGGAGTAAATTGTAGGTTTGCCTTGTGAAATTTGTAGCTGCAATCTTTCTTCCCTTTTAACTTTGAGTATATGAATGGCCAAGATTATTGTACACTAGATTGACACTCAATTTATGATATCTTCATACATTCTTTTGAATTCATGTAAGCAGCTCTTAGTATAAGGGTAACCTTCATCATATTTTTTGTGACACTTGCAAGTCATAGTTTGTTGAGGAGATACCAGATTATTTTTGGTCATCAAAAAAGTTCTAAAAGCCCTTTTTGAAGGCACGTTACATGTTCATGCATTTGTAAGTAAATAGATTCTGATTTTAGAGGTGTGCCAATGGGTGGTCCAGAAAGGGGTAATGTGCTCATTGCATGTCATTTATGTTGCATGCTCCATTGAAAGTTTAAATGTCATTGATGAATGGATGGCATGTGGTTGGTGTTTATGGGAATTCAATGTTGTGAAAAAGACATCCCTTGCCAAGGGGGTACCAGGATTTAATTCCTGGACCAGGGGCCAGTTGGTTGGTTCAGCCACCAGGCTGCTAATTTTTTTTTTGACATACCAAAATTTCAGTGCAAAACGACAAGAGGGTGATTGAACAGTGCTCAGATAACTGCCAGGATGCATGAGCTTGAATATATTGGGTCTATCTGAACATAAAGAAGCCAAAAACTAGCTCTAAGATGAGATAGGACTTGGAACTGAGATCACATGTTGTGAAATACCTTTCTCTACAACATTGCTGCCTGAAAACAGCAAGCCCCTACAGTGACTTACTTTAATTCAATATAGCAGGCAGCTCAGTAGTTCAATTTCAATAGTGAATTTTATGGTCAACTTCATCGTAGTATCACTTCAAGCTCGATGGGGAGCTCAAAGAATGGGTTTTCACAGCCTGCTGGGCATTGGGTGATGGATAAGGAGGAAAAATGGCATGTGGATGACATCATATTTCCTAAAATGGACATGTGCCTGATTACGTTGGGTGGTTGGTTCAGCCTCCCACTAAAAATAATTTCGACACCCAGTCCTTATTTTAAATCCTGGCACCCCCTTGTCCCTGGCTGGCAAGTGCACCAAGTAACCTTCATCATGATGCACCTTGACTAATTCTATTTAATTGAAAGGGGCCTAAGGCTGCCAAGAGGTATACACTAGCAAGGCAGGAAACGACTTTGACTTGCTTTTTATGTCACTGAGGTCGAACGGATTGTTACTAGTGGCGAAGGTAGCCAGTGTAAATAATTTCGTTAGTATTTCGTAAGTGAGTGATGATTGTCGACTGAAAAATGCTTACCGGCGAATGAAGAGGTTGTGCCCAAACATGTGATATTCAAGATACATTTCTAACAGCCTGAGTCTGCCAGTATCGACGTCAACTTGAAAAGGAATAGCTTTCGCACTTGTAAATCTTCAAACTAAAATTGCGAGAAAACCTGAAGGAGGTCTGGCTCCAGAAAATATGAAAGATCCCGAACTCAGATCGAGAGCACGTTGAAACAACGTCGCAATCTTGGAATGGTGTTGTTTCAGAACACATCACAGTGCCGTACTCATTATTTTGTTCCAAGCATCCAGATAATTGGCCCAAGACTTCGACATATTACGCCTGCGTTTGAACTGAAGAAATGCTATTTCCCATTGGAGGCGTCTCCCTTAGTACGACCCGTTGTAACCAGACGATAGCCCCGGGCCTGATCCAACGCCCAGCTACTATCCAAACCCGAAAAGCGGAGGTCATTGTCAATGAATCCCAGACGGCTCCTGTTGAGAGTGTATATAGCACAGTGGTAATAGGGGATAAAGATAATAATCATGTTGAGGGCAGCTTCATCACCCTTATATACTACAAAATGTAACTACTAGAATATACTACTAATTACTAGATACGTGTGAATTGTTCGGTGATGTTCTCGGACTTATTAATCCATCAATCTCGATCTATCTACAAAGTCCTCGAGATGCATGGAATACTTGACCATATACCAGGTGTTATTCCAACACTCCCCCTTGGTCAGGTATTACACCTATCTCATAAGTTAAGTCTTGGTGTACAATCCGCGGGAGACCCTTCGTGAATAAATCTGCGAGATTGTTGTGAGTTGATATGTAGATCAAATCTAGGTTTCCTTTTTCGACGTGATCGCGTAAGAAATGAAGCGCGATGTCAATATGCTTTGTCCGAGCATGAAACTCTGGATTATGACCAATAGATATTGCAGCCTGGTTATCCGTGAAAATTGTGGATGTTTTTGGCTGCGGAATTTCGAGTTCATTGAATAAAGACCTATGCCAAAGTACTTGTTTGGCAGTATGAGTAGCAGAAGTATATTCTGCCTCAGCAGTTGAAAGAGCAACAGTATTTTGCTTTTTCGAGCTCCAAGCCACAGCTCCACCAGCTATGGTTACTACATATCCACTGACTGATTTTCTGTCGGCGTGTGAAGCCCAATCAGCGTCGCAATAAATATTCACGTCTGCATTAGAGTTTTGTCCTCCATATGTGAGCATATAATTTTTCGTGCCTTTCAAATAACGGAATACTCTTTTAACGGCTGTCCAATGCTTCGGTTGGGGTTGGCTTGTAAATTGTGCAAGTCTGTTTGTTGCATACCCAATATCTGGGCGCATTCCCAATGCGGTGTACATTAGAGATCCAATCATTGTTGCATAGATCCCTGTACCTTGCATGTCGTGAGTGCTGTCATTTTCTGATGGCTCGTCATCCTGATTTAAATCGACGTTCGGATCGAGTGGCATGGTAACTGGATTCAGGTTTTCGAGATTAAATTTCTTGAGGAGTTTATTGATGTAATGAGTTTGCGAAAGTGAGATAGTATGGTTTGTAGTGTCATGAGTAACCTTCATGCCTAACAGTAATGAAGGTTGGCCCAATGCTTTGATTTCATATTTTGATTTGAGTTCTGTTTCGACACGATCACTTTCCGCAGGGTTATTGGTGAGTGTGAGTATGTCATCCACCCATACCAATAATATCGCAAATTTCTCCCCCTCTCTCCGAATATAGCAACAATAATCCATTCTTAACTGCGTGAATCCCAGGTCTGCCATAGTGCCATTAAATTCACGATTCCATGCGTGTCCAGTCTGCTTTAAACCGTAAAGCGCACGTTGTAATCGACAAACACGTCCGCTGCCGTCTGAAAAACCCGGGGGTTGCTTCATATAAATTTCCTCCGTGAGTTTTCCATTTAAATATGCACTTTTCACGTCGAGCTGACGCATATCCCATTTATTTATTGCGGCGAGTGCGAGCATCGTACGTAGCGTCTCGAAGCGCATAACGGGTGCAAACGTGCCGTTATGGCTAAAATCTGTTCCTGGTTTCTGTGAGAAACCTTGCGCTACAAGTCGTGCCTTGTATTTTACGATGTTTCCGTGTTCATCTCGTTTTTTGTCAAATACCCAACGGCATCCGATTGCTTCCCTTTCTACTGGTAAGTCTTCCATTTTCCATGTGCTCATTTTTTCTAAAACATTTAATTCTGCTTCCACAGCAGTCTTCCAATGCTCTTTCTCCTCAGTCTGCATCGCATCTTCAAGTGTTTCTGGCAATCCATCTTTATCAGAAATTCCTGAGAGCACTTGGAATGATTTTTCGGTTGAAAATCTGATAAAATCTTCGAAGGCAAGGTGAGTGCGATTTTTAGAAATTATTTTCGCAGCTGATGACTCTGTGTGTCGTGTAATATCAGGTGGTGTCGCATTTTCAAGTGTGCGATCTGTTGGTCGTGCCTGTGGATTATTTAGGAGTCGATAATCGTGTTCAGTGCGAGTTCTACGAGGTCTACGAGCTGGGGAATTTATGGGTTCAATAGGATTTCGCATTTCTTGTGTAGGAACTGTTGTAGGGATAGGATTTAATGGATTTTCGATTTCTTGAGGTGTTTGAGTGTTCGATTTTTCCTCTGGCTCCCCCTCGACGCGCAAACCCGGTAAATTAGCTTTAATTTCGAGTTCTCGTGGCTCTTCATTCTCGTTAAATGCCACATTGCGTGAGACTTTAATTTTTCGAGTTTTAGCGTCGTAATAACGGACTGACTTCGATCCGTCGTGAAATCCTACGAAAATAAATTTGTTTGACTTTGGTGCAAGCTTAGAACGACCTTTGGTCTCGTCTAGCACCCAAACGTCGCATCCGAACTCCCTGAGATGCGAAATATCAGGTTTATTACCTGTCCAAGCTTCATACGGCGTTTTGCCGTTTAAAGCGCGTGTGGGCGCACGGTTTCGTAAATATGCCGCGTGCGTGACCGCTTCGTCCCATAAAAATACTGGAAGGTTTTTCGCAATTAACATTGCCCGTGCAAGTTCCAAAAGTGTGCGATTAAACCTTTCTGCAACTCCATTTTGAGAAGGTGAATATGGAGCAGATGTTTCAATAGTAATTCCTTTTTCTGCAGCCCAATTTCGAAGTTTCTCATTAACCAGCTCCTTCCCATTATCAAATCGCATAAATCTTGGGGGTTTTCCAAATTTCCGTTCAATAACGGCAACATATTCCTTAATGCAGTCAAATGCTTGTCCCTTGTTTTTTAGGAATAGTATGGCAGTCAAACGTGCGCCGTCATCTGTAAATGAAACATAATATTTCCACCGTCCGATTGACTCTGTTTGCACTGGTCCCCATACATCACTCATGATGCGTTCACCAGGTATCTCGGATCGATTTTTTGCTTCTTGTGGAAAAGGTTTGTGTGCTTGTTTTGCTTGAATACAAGCTTCACAAGTTAATGATGGGATTGTAGACTCATCAATCTTGAGCCCATCCACCATTTCATTTGACTTCAGGTTTTTAATTGCATTGACAGAGATGTGGCCATAAAGTTGATGCCATTGATCCTAAGAGTGTGTCCGAATTGGGCGCTTTCCCGATTTGGCAATTCCGCGCGTGCATCAAGCAAATATAACATGTTCGTCAACTTTCCCTTTCCAATGACCCTATTAGTTTTGTCATATAGTTGGCATCCATTGCCACTAAATTCTACCCTTCCTCCTCCAATTGCTAAGCGAGGAATTGAGAGTAAGCAATTGGTGCTTTCGGGACATGCAACACATTCCGCAAAGTGTGTTTGATTGATTGGCCATCAATTCTAAAGTTGACTGCCACTGTTCCTCGTCCCTGTGTCGTTGCTGATCCGCCAATGCCATCAACCTCAGAGTTTAACGGCTCATAATCAGTAAATGCATCTCAGATTGTGCAAATGTGTGACGTCGTGGCTGAATCAAGAACCCAATCGTATTTCGAAAAATTGTGGATATTTTGGTTGACCATGTAGGCACAATCGCCTAGTGAATTGTTCACGGAATCTTGTGTTTGATGAGATCTGTCACCTCAATTTGGTCCTCGACGGCCCTTAGGACCTTGTCCCTCACGGCCTCCACCTTTGGCCCAGCAGTCACTCAACATGTGGCCCTTTTTGTGGCAATTGTAACATTCCACATCTGTTTTCTTCTTTCCCTGTGAGCCTGTATTTCTCCCACCTTTTTGTTGATGCCTAGCTTGCATAGACAATCCTCCAGATGTCTCCTCATTTCGTCCTTGACGACGATGGTATTCTTCGATCAAAATTGCAATAAGCTCGTGTGATTTCAGGGTTGGTTTATTTCCAGATGCACCCAGGTACGATGAAGTATAATTATCCCAACTTTCAGGGAGTGATGTGATCAAGATCATGACGAAATCTTCATCTGATACCATGTTTTCCATTAGGTGCAATTCTTCCTGAAGCTTTCTTAGCTTCGATATATGTTCCACCAGATCAATTCCCTCATCCGCGCTCATTCTGTATAGCGCGCGACGTGTTGCAAGGACCCCTAGCCTGCCCTTGGATTCCTTGACCATGGTGAGTTGATCCCACATTTCCTGCGCTGTCGTTGTGCCACTGATGTGGATCATTTCCGCATCGCTGATAGCGAGTTCTATTCTTATCTGTGCTTTGGCGTCGCCTTCGACCCATTTCTTCGTCGCTGCTAATTCTTCCGTTGTCGGGCTTTGGGGATCGGCTGATCCTGGAGGTTTTGCATCCTTTGCAATATACTTCTCCAGTCCAAGGTCACAAAGCACAGCCATCATCCGTCGCTTCCATGGCATCCAATTTGTGGCCTTCAGCATTTCCATCCGGTAAGATCCCGTTGTGTATTCTTCCGACATTGTAGTAGGTTACGTAATGTAGATAAGCGTACAAGATAAAGTTTGTGTGTATGTGTGTGTATGTGTGTGCATGTGGAGCGTATGCGTGTGTAATGAATATGTGTATAAGTTTTATAGGCCGGGGCCCATAACCTGTTGAGAGTGTATATAGCGCAGTGGTAATAGGGGATAAAGATAATAATCATGTCGAGGGCAGCTTTGTCGCCCTTATATACTACAAAATGTAACTACTAGAATATACTACTAATTACTAGATACGTGTGAATTGTTCGGTGATGTTCTTGGACTTATTAATCCATCAATCTCGATCTATCTACAAAGTCCTCGAGATGCATGGAATACTTGACCATATACCAGGTGTTATTCCAACAGCTCCAGAACAAGATGAAATAAGTACGAGCTAATGACCCAACATGGAAAGGGAAGACTGCTAGATGCTAAACAATTCCAGATCAAGTTGAGTGTAAGTACTGTGCTTCTTTATGGCTCTTGGGTTTCGACAACGAGCGATAATCAGAACAACGAGGATGAGGGGTGCAGAAATCAAAGTAAAGCCAGGTTCAATTTCGAAGACAAGTCCATTTGCAGACAGCTCTATCAAGTCGATTGTGGACGTGTAAAAGTCGGAGCCACCGTAGAATGGTAAAGCTCGCCTCTTGGCAGCTGAATCGGGGTAGGAACATGTCGTTCGTGGCCTACACTACACAGAACTGGAAACTGTAAACATTAAAGAAAAATCAGCAGGACTTGGCAACAACCTCCAAAAAAAGTAAATGCACAAGGCTCGGGACTACTCCGTGACCCAGAGCACCGAAATCAAGATAGAGGGAGAGGGCAAAAGTGTTTGTTAGACTTTGAGAATTATAGACTCAGAATATACGGTTTATGAGAACTATTTCTGAAATTGAGCGTTCATTTATAAGTTAAAATCAGGGTGGGCAGTGTCTTGGAGGAAAATGGAATTCTGAGATGTGATGGCAAGAAAAGAAGGTGCAGCCAGAATGAACTTGAACATCAAACAATTTTGCTCACTCGTCATCGCGTCATCGATGATCCTCCTGCAGACAAACACAAATCTCGAAACTTGGTTGTGCAGACACCAGCGCAAATTCCACCTCCTCCAAGCTCAGCCCTCCCTCCGCAAAAGAATGCACAAACACATACACGACTGCGCGTCCTCCTTGAACTCGCTCGCTTCGGAAGAACTTTTGAGAGGGAAAGACGGGGAGGAACAGGACGCGGATGTGAGCCTCGAAACGGAGTATGAGAGTTGGACGTCGAGTGATGAGGATGAGGAGGATGAGGATAAGACGCCACCTCAGGAGGTTACTCCCGCTGTCACTGGTCCAGGGCGCTGCTGCTGCCCAACTTCAAAGCTCCCCGCGAATGAGGCATTCAAGCCCAAGCTCGATGTCACCTGGCTAACGCGCATGGCACAAATTCGACCTTGCAGTTGTAGTCGCCCTCGTTTCGCCAATCGGGAATTGGCTCATGGGGGGTGATCACATCAAGAACCTTCTCCTCATCGTTTTGCTTATTTTCTATTTATACCAGGTCATCGAAAGTGCGTCCATCCCTTTCCTTCCCCTTCTCCCTAAATGTAACTGACGCACGCCTCTTATAAAGTCCCATGGGACCTGTACCAAAAATCCCGTCCACGCCGTCCGTTCACCCACCCTTCCTCCCCTCCCAGACTCCACGGAACCACCCTCTACAGGACGTACGCAGCATCCGAATTCCACTCATTCGAACTCTCCCTCCTCTTCCTAACCTTCCTCTCACCCTTCCTCGGCGCTCTCTTATTACGCTATGCAACAGCCGCCGTCCTAGGCCCTCAATCCGTCTCTTGGTTTAGCACGGGCTTGTTCGTACTAGCCACGGGGATGAGGCCATAGTCTCACCTCATCGAAAGGATCCGCACGCGTATGGCCGAGTTGCATGATTTGGTGCATTATCCCACACCGCACTCTTCCTCTGCAGCGCATAGCGATTTAGAGAGGCGGGTTCTCGAGTTAGAGAGAATTGAGCAAGATGGGGAAGAGGGTTGGAGGGGTTGTCAATGAAGTTTATGAGTATGTGGACGAAGCTGTTGATGGGGTGCAGCATTCGCTTAAGAAGCAGGAGATGAGGTGGGAGAAGTGGGACGGGAGGGTTAGGGAGGTTGAGGAGAAGTTGAACAAGGCCCCAGAGCGAGGACAAAACAAGCTCAGTTTGGGTTTGGATGGGGCGTATGCGCATTCGTTGCTTGCGTATGTGCTCCTGCAGTGGCTTTTGGACTTTGATGCGCCGTATTATACGAGGGGGCTGTGCTATGGCCCTTCTTTGTACTTGCCCACCACATCGACGATCGCGTCTAGACATCACCACCACCATCATCAGCACTATCAGCATCCCTCCTTCCCTTCCTCACCATCGACTCCGCTGGAAACTATTGTGGAGGAAGACGATTCGATGACGGCTGTGAATGTGAATGGAAGGTGTCAAGAGAAAGAGAAATATTAGTACCCGTTATTGGCGCGCCCGATGTGGATTACGTCAAGCATTATCATGCGGGTGGGTTATCTTTTGATGGCGCCATTGAGGGCAGTTGTTAGGATGGTTTTAAGGAGGTATTGAGGCTTTCTTGGTCACTCGTGTTCGTGTTCGGATCCGCTGTTATCATCTCCTCGCAATCCTTCCGAGCTATCACTTGACTTGACTGCCATCGTCGTCCGTCGTCGGCCCTTTCACTCTGACCCTCCTTCTCAAAGTCGTTCGCGCCCATCGTCCCTTTGCACGCAAGCAAGCCTACTCCGTCCATTTCTCCTTCAAAATCAAACACGTATATCCAACCACGACTCGCACCAAAACCATTCCTTTTTTATCATTATATTCCAGTTCAAATGTTTCTTTTCTCTGCCTGGCCAGAATGTCGCTCCCTGCTGCCGGACTTCTTGGTACCCCCAAGCAATCTTGAAGAACATGTCTTTCCCAGATAACCGATCCCCGTCAATCTGTCTCAGCTCGTGTCCTCTGCTACTATTCCCAAATAATCGGCCCTTGCTATCGCTCTTTTCTCCTATCACTACTTTGCCCTGATACCGTCTCTCCGGTTGCTGATATCCAGATGATCGTCCGCTCGTCCTTTTCATGTGTGCTTGATTGATAATCTCGCATCCCGTCCGT